CTGGTAAGTGCGATTGCAGCTACATGCATTGTGACAGCTGCGTGGCAGGTAGTCTTCAAGTCTACGGAAGTTGGATTTGTCATGGAGTTACCAGGGAAAGTCTTTCAATAATTTTGCTGTGCGTGTCGTTGTCACCAAAGGGTGCCGCAAGTTGGGTGATGCAGCGATGAGGAGCTGTATGGTGAATCTCCGACACGATTTAACATTTAGTTTTTTTTGAACATGGCTGAAAGAATCTAATTTGACGTATTTTTTTGCACAGCTTTGGCTTGAGTCCGGTTGGTGCGGTTGTTTGAGCCAACGGCCATTTACAATTTCAGCGGACTGTTGTTTGTCATGTTGTTGTTGTTGTTGTTGTTGTTGTTGTTGTTGTTGTTGTTGGGCCCAAACTAAGAAAAAGTTTCGGTAGCAGCCCACGTCATGCAGTTTTGTTTTGGTGGGTTAGTTCCTTCTTTCATTTATTCATCAAAACACTCATTCTGTGTTCATGCGTTCATGCCTTCATGCGTTCATGTGTTGACTGTTGACTCATTGTTTCATCGATTCATTGGTTCGCTGGTTGGTTGATTCATTGAGTCATTGCTTCGTTGATTCTTTGATTCACTGTTTCATTGATTCATTGGTTCATCGATTTATTGGTTCATTGTTTCATTCACTCATTTGCGCGCGGATTCTTTCATGTCATTTCATTGGCATCTCAACCACCATTTGCTCTTGTGCTGATGCACCTCACAGCTTCAACCGCTCATGGTTTCTGCACCTCAAAAACGTTCCTATAGGCCATCTCCTATTTTCGAAACTTCCGCCCCGGCACATGCCGGGCACTATCTGGCATTTCTGTTACTGTTGCGCAGTTGAGATCTTAGTTGGGCTATGGTGGTAGGAAATTTGCATGGCTTTAGGTGCATCACGGTCATCACGGTTTTGACACCACCCCCAAAACGTCAACCAAAAAACTAGCAATAGCTACGATGGTTTTGGCTCCTACAAGCAAGTAAGAGGTTGGGCATGGCAGTGTAAATCATTCAGCTGTTTTTTTGCCTTGTTCATCGCGGTTGTGGTCACATGGGTGATAGCCTTCAAGTCAGGGTTCAGCGAGACAGAGTTCAAGGACGTGGACCCATGGCGCGAGCCTGAAGGTGCCTCAGGAGACATAGTTCGACAAGAACCTCCAGCAAGGATTTCAAGTGGAGTCAAAGAGAGGGTACTCAAAATGAGTGCCCATAGACCAGCAGGACGAGTCAGAGTTGTTGCCACCGGATGCATCAGAGGTGGACAAATGGTATCAGAATTTCATAGTGACTATGGGGGCTCCTCCGGATGAAGCTGAAGAACCTACAGCTTCACAGTTGGCAGCGTTGCGCAAGAAGGTGCATGTTTTCTGATGATTCAGTACGGGTAGGTACATAGGACACTTTCTATATATGTGGGTACGGAGTCTTGGTACGCTGGTGCGGTCTCTTGGTACGGTGGGTACGGTGGGTATGGTACGCTGGGTACGGTACGGTACGGTGGGTACGGTGGGTACGGCACATGCGGGTACGATGGGTACGGTACGGTGGGTGCAGGTACGCACCCACCGTACCATCGTACCGTACCCACCGTACCATCGTACCGTACCCACCGTACCTCCCGTACCGTACCCAGCGTACCCAGCGTACCGTACCCAGCGTACCCACCGTGCGAGGCAAAAGAGCAGGAGGGAGAGGAGTTGCCGTCGTCTTCAACTGGCCAGTCGAAGAAACAAAGGCGGGAAGAACAAAATGAGTTCTCCATAGAGGAATGAGAAACCCTGCAGCTGCGGTGGCCAGGTTGCACCAAGTCAAGAAGATCGGAAGCCAGATCCACATGGCATGGATGGACTTCATAAAAAACCATCCTAAGGCGTTGGAGGCCGCAAACTATGGGTCGAGCGAGGCAAAGATTGACGAGAAGATCCTGGCAGAATGGTCCGAGAGGTTGTCGTCATTACTCGGAGTGATGGACCAAGACGGCATCACGTTGAAAGAGAAGGTGGAATTTGCGTCTCCTTTGAAGGCAGCCATGTGGGACGCTTGGAGGGTCTGTGCACGAGACCCTGAGCAGTTCATAGGCCAATGGGCAAGAGAAGGTGTCCCATTGGGAATGGAACAGAGCATCCCCGACGCAGGCATCTTTCCCAGGGTGGAAGCTGGCGGCGCCTTGGAGACAAAGACCGACATGGCGATCTTGCACCCCCTCCGCAACTATGACTCGGTGGAGGCACAACTGGATGAGGCAGCCATTGAAATTGACCGATATGTCAAGAAGGGCTTTTGCAAAGTCTTGGCACTGGAAGAAATCCATTCCAGGTTTCCAGCTGGGACTGCGTCCAGATTGGCCCTGATATTGAAGCAGAAGGCGGACGGCAGCACAAAGAGAAGGATAGTGATCGACATGCGGAGATCCAAAGGGAACGACCGGGCGAAGATAGAGGAACGAATAGTTCTGCCAAGGTCCCAAGACATCGTGGCGAGTCTGCGAGTCATGAGAGCCCGAGAACATGAGCTGGTGGCGAAAGCGAAACGAGGTCGATCCTCAAGGGGTCCAAGAGGCACACTGAGGCAGAAGTAGAATTCGTGCTGCTGGACCTGAAGGACGCCTTCTGCCATTTCGGCGTCCTTCCACCCTGCTGAGGGACAGACGCAGGTTTACATTGACGATGTGGCCCTGATGCTGCGAGGCTCAAAAGAATGGAGGGAGATACAGCTGTCCAAGGTGATTTATGTCCTCTCTGCGTTTGGGGTTCTCTGTGTATCAGCAGGCCCCCTATCCCTCGAGGAAGCATCGGTGACCACCCCCCATACCGGCCCGACCTCGTCCAGCGGCTCGGTTCTGATCATCATGTTCTCCTTTGACTCGAAGGCTGCACGCAGCCAGGGCAGTGTGGTGCCCATCCTTTTCACGGCCACGAGGCCCACCTTAATTCTCTGATCTCTTGTCCTCTTTTGGGCTCTCTCGTGCTCCGACTGTTCCTCCTGTTGCACCTTGGTGAGGATGGCATACAGGGCCGTCACCGTCCATTTCAAACGTGGCACTATTCCCGCTACCCAGGCCAGTTTGCCCAGGAAGGTGCGTAGATCTTTCACTGGGATCATGCCCTTCCCATCCCATGCCTTCAAGGTGTCGCAGATGTCCTCCACCATCTTTTTCGGAGTGCCCAGGACCACCTTGTCAGGGAAGAGCTCAAACTCCGTTACAATCCAGACCACTCTCTTCCCCCGTTCACCTTTCTCCATCGACATGGGGCGAGAATGGCACATCTTGGAAGCATTCGAGGCCCCGGTGCAGGCGAACCAAGCAAAAGCCCTCGAGATACCGTTCCAGCAGGCGGCGGGTCAGGCAGTGCTGGAGGGCCTGGCAGTAGGGCACTGCAGTTGTGGTCCACCAAGATTCAAGGTGGACCAGTGGTCATCAGGAGCGACAGTTCAGTCGCCCTGTCGATGTCAAAGAAGATGTCGTCACCAACCAAGACCTTGAACTATCTGGCGGCCAAGATAGCGTTGCTCCTGGAGCATGCCACAATCACCAAGCTGGTGCCCCAACATGTGCCGGGGAAACTCAACACGGAAGCAGACTGGCTTTCGAGGCTTGGTGACCGTGGGCAGATGCCCCCTACACTGGTCGACGTCAAGATAGAGTGGGCGGCAGGCTCCTGAGAGGGGTTATGACATGCTGGCGATGGTACGAGGGCACCACTCACAAGGGACGAAGAGCCCAGAGACTGACCAGAGAAGCGAGCCCAAGAACAACGCCAGTGCAAAGAGATGGAATGTTGGAGCCTGGGACGCATACGAATACCGAGCAAACGTCCCCAAACTATCTCAGCATGACAGAGATAAGAGCACCAGAAGATCGACACAACTTGGTCTTAAGCGAGGAGACGCCGAGCTCATCAATATGGGGCCCACACTTCAACACAAGGAGGGTAAGCTTCGCAGAGGAGCTACGACTCCGCAGAGCAGAGCCAAAAGGATGGCGACGGTGATGGGTGCAATGATCGCAGCAGCCAGTCCGAGAAAATGAGAGGAAGCGAGACACAGATCCCCCTGAAACTGGTGGGAGAGAAGGTCAAAGACCGAGCCTGGCTGGGCAATGTAAAGAAAAGCTTCATCAGGAAGTTTTATGCAGCATCGACACTGGCAACGAAGAATACAAAAAGAAAGAAAGCGATAGAGATCCTCGAGGGCATGGGATGCAAACACTTCCCTTTGGATGTGGACACCCTCACAACCCTTGCAGCAGTTTTGGATTCCACGGGAATGAGAGCAGGTGACCAATACCTTGCAGAAGCGAAGGCCATGCACGTGGAAGGGGGGCATGACTGGACACTACTCCTAGAGAAACAGCTCTCGTCGTGCAAGAGAGCGATGCAAAGAGGCAAAGGCCCAGAGTGCAGAGCAAAAGAGGTCAGAGTGAGTGCCATCTCGGAGGACCAATGGACCGGGGTCTGCGAAGGAAAAGGTGAACCGAAACGAGTGGCGTGGTTTTACGCCTGGGCAACGGTGTGGATGCTGCGGGCAATTGAGGCGGCAAACATGAAGGCGAGCGATGTCGTCTTAAAGTTTGAGGAGAAGATGGTTAGACTTCACGTGCGGAAATCAAAGACAGATCAGAAGGGCTCAGGCACGTGGAGAACCTTCAAGTGCTGTCAAAAGGAGCAATGTGCCAGAGACTGCGCATTTAATCTGGCAATACTTGCACTCAACGACTTGGGGAACGCAGACAAGGAGCCCCCGCTGTTCCCAGATTCTGACAGGAAACCGGTGTCAAAGATCCACATGGTGACGGCATGTGCCAGACATTTAAATTTAGATGAAGCAATGTCAGGTCACTCAGCCCGCAGATCAGGGGCAATGTGCTACGCTCGGAAGGGGCTTAGCATCCAGGCCATCCAATTCTTGGGGAGATGGAAATCGTCAGCAGTTTTTCGGTATGTGGAGGAGGCCATGACGGAAATACCCCTCAACGTGACAGACGGAAAGACAGCTGAAGCGGGCGAGACACAGAACCAAGAGGCAAACAAAAAGAAAAGGGCCCTGAGGCCCAAGTCAAAAGCTGCACCACCGCAGCGGGAAGCTTCTGAAGAACCCACAAGGGGACTTACAAAACCTCTCGTCCCCAGTTCGGTCTTCGCCATCTCAAGTCCAGAGGCCACTGGACGAAGCACCTTGTAGGCCAGGCCGCGTGGGGAATACCGTTAGATCAGTGGGCTACGATCTGCGGCTGGAACTTCGCCAGAAGGAACGTGAAGGTGGAGTTGACCCAAAACCCAAGGCGGTTGGCCTCACATTGCAAGAAGTGCCAGGTGCCAGAGAGTGTGCGCAGGGCATGGAACTTCATGGACAAGATCCACGTCTGAGAATCTGTGAAGATGTGGCAGAAGAATGAAAATCAGAAATGGGATGGAACCCATTAGTACAACTGCCAAAGATAGGGCAGACCAGCGCCAAAACGCAAAACAGTGCGCAACTTGCATGGAGGGTGGGAGGGCTTGCATGTCTCAGACATATCGATTGTTTGATCGAGTTATCCCCACAACAAACGCCAACGCTATTTGAAAAAAATAAACACTACGGACACCAAAACATTTTTGAATCCAAGTAAATGTGCGCGCGGAAAGGATCAAAAGAACCGAAAGAATATGTTCTGAAACACCACCGAGATATAAATACGGAAATCATTTTGCAGGGGCACCTTTCACAAAAGAATGAACGTAACTGGCTCTGATGTTCTTTCTTTCATGACATGCTTTCCTACTGTTATTTCCAAACCAAGTACCCCATAAGTGCACGAATTGATCAAACTTAGGTCCAGAGAAAACCACATTTTTGTACTGACTTGAACATGGGAGCCAAGAGAACCGTTTTTGGAGCAAATGCAGCATTGCATTCTTGAAAAAACCCTAAGAACACAGTGCAATTTTTAGTGCAATTCTTAGTGCAATTCCTGTAGGGATAGTTTGTGTGAGTTGTGTGTACACAGTGTACATGTTTTGTCAGGTATGCTCCAAGGCTGTGCACCTTCTGGAGGTGAGTCAGCACCCGACAGCATCAAGGGATCAGAGGACAGGGAATTGCAGAGGAGTCCAGGAGAGTGTGGGAAACCCGTTTTCTATTCCTATAACATATGGGAATGAATATATAATATATCATAATATATCATGAATCTATAATGTATGGATTTTCGATTTTTTCTTTCATCCCAGTTGGTCCTTCGCACAGGACCTCATGTCTCAAAAGGCACATGGCACTTGTGTGGGACCACCACAAAATCCGCTTCGCTGGGATGCTGACTACGCAACAGTCCCTGGCTGAGATGAAAGTGGATGGGTAGCATGATATTTGTGGGGTGGTGTCAATCGCACCAATGAACGAATATTGTGGACATGAACTGGACGACAAGAAACGACACCTCTCAGCACTTGAGGCAGACAGCATTTGTTGTTTCAACAGACACCACGCAGAGTTTGCCGGATCCTGGGAACGAACTGGCTTGCCCGCTGCCATTGCTAGTCCTTCTCTCAGACGTGGGGCCTATGAAATCTAAGCGCCTCAAAAGGGAACGGTGGTCTATGGTGGTCTATTCATGTCGTCGCTTTGGGCACTTCACTGCACATCATTTTGCTATTTTGAAAGTTACTAAAATCGTCCTTGCAGGTCAAGCATCCAACTCCACGATCATGTTTTACGACTCCGTGACAGGCAGATGGATACATAATATAGAAATGCAAAAATATGCAGAAATGCTTCTGCATTTCTTCTGAAAGATGGAGCTAGAAAGACTTCATGAAACCTGTAGCAGCTACTTTAGCCACACCATTTATAACTTTTCACTAGACTATGCGCAGACTTCGCACAGACCATGAATATCTATGAATGAACATGTTCAGGCAAACCACTCTTCAAAGCTCCAAAAGGCAGGGAACTTGTAGTGCAAAGCTTCGATCAGGTCAAATAGGAACGTCGCCTTACTTCAAGCCGTTGCCGGGTGCATAGCCGTTGTCACAACATTGTTGGCTGGGTCTCAGGTCGAAGTTGGGAGGACTTCAACAAGGAGCCGCTGATCACAGTTCCACGTTCCACTTTGAGCTCTACATGAGTTTTTCCTCCATGGCTCAGCGCAGTGCTGTAAGCACATGCAGTAGGCAAAGTAGGCAAAGTGGGCAAATGCATATGCCCGATTCGTTTGCTCACTGTGCGCATGCCTCAGGAATCGAAAGCCCACGGTTGGCCATCGTTTCGGGATGATGAAACCTGGTTCAAACTAAATATTGTGGCCTCAAGGGCTTGGGACTTCACGCATTGCAATGCACATGGCAGTATGGACGCGTGCAATCAAATTAAGCCGTACTCGCCAAGTCGTCAAACTCACAGTCGAACACACTTAAGCTCCTAAAGCTCTAGAATCTTCAGAATCTGGCTCGCGCACAAACGTGCCTTGCTGACATGTGCAGATCCATGCACCCACAATCAAGCCTGTCCCAACAACATTTGTGATTGGCATGTTGTTGTTTGTGGAGTGACATTTGAGGAAGTGGTGATCGAGAATGTAAGAGTGCTTTCAGATGGGGAAGCTGTGAGCATAGATGGAACACATCTGGGTCACAACCTTCCCGACGGCAAAGGAAACCGCAACTTGTTTTGATTACATTTATTTTGATTTTGCCTTTCTGTTTGCTTGGATGTTAGGTTTACAATAAGTTTATGCGACTCAAAGGTAGAACGCCAAAAGAAATTTTGTTGCCAATCACTAGAAACCGATTACGGAACCTCCAGAGACTCAAATCTCTATTTGTGGCTTGAGGCTATTGCATCAATTTGGTTTCTGTGGCCGGCATGCCAACACCAGAGTGAGTGGAGTGTCTTAAGTCTGGCAGGCTAAAGCAACCCACTTTTTGCTTGCCAGAAATGCCAGAATGTGATCTTGCGCAACTCGTAGCTTAGTGTTCTTGTATTTCTTTCCTGGCTAGGAAGCTGAGTCCTCAAGGGACTGGTTTTCTGCCTAACTGACATTAGGTGTAAGTGTACAGGACTGAAATGGGTAGGTCACGAGGCCTTCCTGGTTTTCCATGCAACGAGGCGACTGGTCAGGGTCAATGATTTCGTGTTTCCTCCGAGTGGACGGAAGCTGCCTTCATACTGATGCCTTAGCGGCTGCAGCATACAAGCTTGCGCTGCACAGACACGAAGCATCAGGATCTGTAAAGAAAAGGGCTAGAATGGGCTAGGAAAAAGAGCAAACTTACAAGAGAGCTATGGACAGGTTATATTATATTATATTATATTATATCATATTATATTATATTATATTGTATTGTATTATATTATATACATTATATTGTATTATATTATATTATATTATATCATATTATATTATATTATATTATATTATATTAGACATCATTATATTACATTATATTATATTACATTATATTATAATATATTATATTGTATTGTATTATATTATATTATATCATATCATATTAAATTTTATTATATTTTATATATAGCTTTATTTAGCTTCATTTAGCTTCATTTTTAGCTTCTGTTTTTGGAACGGACCCTGGATGAACTGTTGCCCACTGTTGCCCACTGTTGCCCACTGTTGCCCACTGTTGCCCGCTCGTGGCCTGTCTCAGGTTCAGCAGGTGCGTATGAGAATCACCGAAAGGGCTGGAACATTGCAAGAGCATTGCAGAGCATTTGGAAAACAGAAAATGAACGAAATGGACATGAAATGGACATGAAATGGACATGGACAAATTGACAAATTGCATTTAACTGCATTTCTCCATGGACAAGACTGACATCTCTTTAGCCTTCGATATGTTGATATGCACAGGATTCAGCAAGGTGGGGCTTTAAGATGCACTCGCCAGACGGAAACATGTACAGTAACATGTCCATCAGTCGGCAGACTTGTCCTATTCATACGAACATACTGTAGATACTTGCAAAAGAGTTGATGGTTCATCATATATTTGGGCAAGAAAAAACATGTTTGCGATTCATTTCTTAGCTTCGTTGATTTTCGTTTGCTTCAAGGTTGGTCTCAGTTGGTTGGGAATGCATCAATTCCAAGCAGACACATACAGTGAAAGGCCCTTCGCACGTTGGGACAGGCCTACCACCAAGGAACAAAAAACAAGTCCTCACTCTCACCAAGACAATTCCCATTTTCAGCTCTTTCGTACCCAGCATCTTGAGAAGCATACCAGCAGCCACAGAAGCACAGAAGATTAGCTCTAGATTAGCTCTAGATTGTACATAGATTAGCGATTAGCGTATTTAGCTTTCAAAATTTTCAGGGCATCGCCAATCCCTTCCCGGGCGTTGACGTCTTGGTCTCAGCTTCGCTCGATTGCTCGATTGCTCGATTGCTAAGTATGTGCAGTATGCGCACGGGATTGAATTTCTGAATGGGGTGATGGAACTTGGAATATCTTGGAATATCTTGGAATCTTGGAATATGTGTATGTGATCGCAGTGATCGCAGTGATCGCATGTGTATTTTTATAAGTTCGAACCCTGCGGCCCCACTTCACCACACAGGACACTGGTGGCAACCAAGTATGCATGGACACACAATGCAAAATTCAGTTCAATACACTACGCAGCCCAAAGCCTACAATGTGGGAGTTAAGCATTCTTCCTCGTCACCGGGCAACTATAGATCACCACAGAGAGCTTTTTGCCTAGCTGAGAAAGACGATGCTAAACTGCCCTGAGTTGTTTTAATGTCTTGTGGAAAATCCAAGCAATCCAAGACAACAGACAGTAAAGCAACAGTGCGTATGGCAAACAAAGTTCTTAAGAGAAAACCATGTTTGAGAGATAGACCCTCGTTGAGCAACCAAAGGCATCAACATAATATGATGTCCACAAATAAACAAAATTAAACAAGTAACAATAGTGGATGAATGTGCAGACAGTCAAACAATTACGGTGCATTCTTATCAATCTTTGCACCGATGCAAGGCACTTCCTCGGAAAACCGCACAGATATAGACTTAAACAGACTAAGAATCTCTAAAAACACAGGGTTTGCTTTGCAATTGCATTCCCCGCACAAAACCATTTCTTTGCAAAAAAGGTCCTTGAAAGATGTCTGTAAGGCCTTGTGTGATTGACACCGAACGCTCTTTGGAACTCATCGTCCATGTTACTTTGTGTTGTACTTGCTGTAAGCTGTATTATATTTTCTTGTGTAAAAACAATGTTATCTTAAATCGCAACGACCATTTGCGCGGTAAACTGTTTCTTGAGTTCCTTGATCTGTTTGTCAAAGCTTGGTGTTAGTTCAGGCACCGATGGGAACCATCGAATCTGTGCAAGCTGCTGCACGGCTCCTAGCGAAATGCTATGTCTGCTATGTGTCAAGAGCAGGTGATTTGTTTTGCACGAGGCTTCTGACATGTTCTAATCGATTCTAACTCTAACCAACCAAAAGGTCTTGATTTGATCCGGCACCCGGGTTTGAAGGTTTGAAGAAACTCTCACAGTGTCAAGACAGGTTTCTTCAAGGTTCCAAAAATGTTGAGATTACAGGGAAAGGTTCCCAGGCAGGGTCCCAAGAGCAACCATTCCGAAAAGACCTGCAATGTTGCAGGCAACGGTTCCAAGTACGATCGCAACGATCTCATGACCTCACTATCCTACTATTAGCACGAACATCATGCTTATTTCATTGCTTGTAGGGCCATGTTTGAACCTTGATGCGTGCACAACCCAGATTTGGTGAATTCATCCTTCAGGTTGCAGAAAACCCGGAAGATGGCCGCCATGTGCTCGTGGCCTATGTGTCAGAGATCAGCCACCACACATTTCCCGAAAGGTTCCTGATCTTGGACGATATGCTTTCTTCATCTTTCTTCCAACAGCAACTCAAAAATTGCAACACATGGGAACTCTGGAAGCTTTTCTGAATCACTTCTGTTTGTTCTTTCATATTATGGCTTGGGAGGTTTGTGCAAGCTCTGCCAACCAACATTCAAGCCATGCAGATTAGCAAAGCATGTGCATAGAGAAGTTAGCAAGTGTTCTAAAAATCAATGGCAACTTCGTAATTTGGCCTTTGGGCTTACGTTGGCTTCGTTTGATTTGTGTAGGCCACTGTAGGCCTGCAGGCATCCTGCATTTTGGATTTCCTAAGGCCTCCAGGAAATCATCGTGTTTCTGCAACAAGCCACACTCTCAGCACTAGATCAGGGCGCGTGGGAAACTCTCAATGGATTCTCCACACACGCGTCTATTTGCGACTTTGCTCTTTTTGCCAGTGTGACAAAACATGTATACTTTGATGTTCCACTTAGTTCCTGAAAGGTTGCATGACATCCCTTTTGTGCCAGGTTCAGACATGGGCCCGGGCGAGGCCAAATTGTTGGCACTTGTGCGAACGGTAAAATGCCAAGCCGCTTGTTGGTGAGATGTGCCCACCCTGCCAATCAAAACAAAGAGACCCCAGTCAGGGGTTCTTCGGTGCCATATAGCACCAATATCTACGGATTGGTTGCTTGTTCTATCTAGTTTTAGTTGGACCTTGGCAGGCTCAGCTGATTGAAGTGCAGAAGCTTCTCAGTAGGCATGGTGTGAACACTTCAAGCTACGGTAGAGAAGGCTGGGTTATGAGCATCAAGTGCTTGTGTTGAGAGCTGCACACGTGAGCGAGAGAGCTGGGTTGAAACAAAGTGCCGACACATGTGCACAGAATTCAGAATTCACACATTTTTGACATTTTAGCCGGCCATCAGAATTCAGACAAACCAGTTTAAAGTCTGAATGCTGCAGCCGGCTTGGGAAGGAGGAACACATCCAGGGTCTTGCCAAGCGGCTTTATAACTTGAACACCTCTTTGTAGGAACTCATTGGACCTTGGACGTTCTCAACCTTTCTTGATGACGATTGATTTTTTTTTTAAATAAAACTCGGAAGCCTTCACCAGCATAGCTAAAAGAGGGCTTGGAAAAGAGATACATTAAAAGAAGTCTCAATTTCTGCCGGAGAAAGAAGAGAAAAGAGCACCTTTGCCATTAAGCAATTTGAGGCATGACCAAGTCTCGACTTTGCAGAGAGCCAGGTTGCCTCACTGTCAAAGATCTAGCCAGAGAAGTGTCACACGGCCAGTGCCGGCTGGAGACCGATGAGGTGCTATCATCGAAGAGCTGGGCATCCGACTTGAGTCACAGAAAGGAAGTAGAGGAAGTAGACGAAGTAGACTAACTAGACTTGAGTCTTAGGACTGACTTTTGTGTTGTTCATCTTGCAGTTCGACCATTCTAAGACTATTCCTTAAACTATTCCGTTACGAAAGTATTCTAAACACCTGGAACCATACCATCAAGCCATCAAGCCTCTATCGAAGCGTACCACTTGGGTGAGAAGGTGGTTTAACACGGAAGGAAAACCCAAATAGAATCCTAAAGAATTAGAATCCTTTGGCATCCTTTGGCATGATGCAAAAAAAATCTATCTTCTTTTTAAAGCAAGAAAAAGTACTGCTGGCTGGTCTCCAACTCACCCCTGGATTGAATGTAACATGTAGGATTTGAATTTGTCGTGACAAAAGTTGCACATAAATGCTTAGTTTAGGTCGATTTGAAATTAGTGGAAGATTGAGCATCTACTAAGATATCACTTGATATCACCTGGCTGACCCTATCGGCATGCTGCCTCTGCTTGCATCGGCTCCGGACGCAGAATGGAAAGCTGCTCCGGAATGTCTCCCTGGTTGAGGTCACTCTGGCCCAGCACCTAGCCCTGCCACAGAATTGGCATTGGCTATATAAGTGGAAACGATTCGAATACTCTTATGTTTCTGTCCAATTCTCAATCACGATCAAATCGCCGAGTCATCACCGTCTTTCCTTGTTGTTTTCATCGCCTATCACCTTTGGTCCTGAGGTTGTGCGCATCACAGGTGGTCGCCTAGCCCTAGTTGAGGAAGAGCAGATTCTCGATGATGGTGCGCGACCTGGGTGTCTTTTGGGCGCCACATGTAGAGCTTCATAGAGCTTATGTGTGTGCTACAACAGTACTGAGTTTCCAGCAGTACCAAGAGTTGCGATCCTTTCTGTGCTTGGAATTTTGATGAATTTTCTTCCTTTTCAGAATTTGAACACGCCTACTTTGTCCAACTGCAGAGTGTGGACCTGAAACTGAACCCTGAAGGTCGACGGCGCCAGTTCATGCAGCGCAAGTTGCATGGCAAGTTGATGCGGAAAGAGGCAAGGGGCGGAAACGAGGTGAAAAATCAAACAGCAAACCGTCCTACTTCCTGTACTTGGCCAGTTGGATATACTTTTACTTGCAGTATCCTCCTGTCGCAGACCTTCATTCGATGGGCAGAAAAGATCAGTTTTTAATTCTGATTTCCGGAAAGTTGTCCGCCCAGTGCTTGTCAGCCGCCAGACCCCTGTCCGTGGAGCATGGCGTTGTGTGCGCGAGCGGCTGGGTTTGGCTGCGAACCAAGAACCTCTCAGATTTGGAACAACTCAGGAATCTAAGCCGAATCTAAGCCGAATGATTCTGCAATGTGTTCCGATGAACGCTTTGCGGCCAGATGTAGTAGTATTTGCTCTTTCTGCTCTTCCTGCCATGCAACAAACGCAACATTTCAGGTCAAGAAAGACTGCACATCTATTTGTCATTCGCAGCATTCTCTGTAATACCTCACTTTGGGAGAGTTGACCATTGCAGACTTTGTTCTAGTGTTCTGAACAGTATCCAACGTGCAGCGTGTGCAGCGTGTGCAGCGTGTGCAGCGTGTGCGGTGAGAAGACTTGAAGGCCCTTGTCTTCTGGGAAGCTTTGCAAACTGTCAAAATGGGTCGCCATGGAGGGATCAACATCCTACACCAAAAGTCATGGCATGTTTGGCGAATGGAAGCTTGGCAGCAGGTCGCTCCAATTTGGCCTAAGCTGGCCTTTGTTGCTGAATCATCACTTATGGTTAATCATGAACATCGTGAACCATTTTAAACCACTACTTATTTGATTCACATCTATTTTTGTGCGCTGTATTGCGGCCAAATTTATGCAGAGCAAAGGACAATCGGCTGCGGGTCGAGAGAGATGAGTTGCAGCACGCAGCAAGAGAGGCAGAAAAGGAGGCTGCTCGAAGAGAAGAGGAGCGCCGAAAGAGCAAATCATTTTTTCACAGATATATAAACATATTTCATATATACACAATACATATGTATTAATGATAGGATTTTTTTATGCACATATAATAATAGTAATGATAATAACAATAATAATGATACTAATAAATAACAATAATAATAAGAATGATAATAATAAATATATATTATATACTGTATATATTTAATTACACGCACACACACGTATCATGCAGTATTTGTTCTCCCATTCTTTCTATGTGTTGGTGCGAACATGTTGGAAAGGTCAAGGACAAGCTCTTCATGATCTACCATGCTGCTTGTCAGCTTTGTCTGTCTAGTTGGTTCTTGCTTTGCTTCTCGCCTGACTTCCAGCCTTTCCCATTCTTTTTAGCCGATCCACGAGAGTTTACCGAGTGTATATAGAACGAGTGCATGATGGTAGTAGTTTCAAGTTAAAGATGGTGACAGACAGCGTGCCAGGCCTTCAAAGGAAAACTATCAAAGCTGCGTTGCGCTGCTGGACTTGAAGTCTTAGAACCTTCAGTGGTTCACCAGGCGTCCAGCAATGCGGTCGGCCCTAACATGGTTGGCATCGACCCGGTTGGCCGAAACAAGGCAGGTGCATTGCTGACAGTACTGGCGCTCGTAAGTGCTTTTCCATTTCAAAGTATCAACCAAGGTTTTGCCTTTTTTCAGTGCCTTTTCCCATGAGCTCGTGCGAGACTTTGTAACCCAAGTAGGTAACCAAGGCCCTCCCAGTGCGGAGAAAGCAAGATACGGTTCAACCGCCATGCCTTCTCAGACTTGGGACTTCACGGTGTCATGCCTTCACGGTGCCATCGGAGGCTTCACAATCAGCAATTGGAGCAAAACAAGCCCAAGGCCAGATATTTTTTTCATTGTTTTGATTCTTGGGCCTAGATTTGCTTTGTGGAATTTGACTTCAAATTGGCAAAGCATTGTGAAAGGTGACGACTATGGGAAGTATGGCGTCACCAAGTCCAATCTCAAACAGGCTGAGAACCAGCTAAAGTCCTGCCTCAAGAAAGCCAGATTGGAGGCCAGAGAGTTTAAAGATGTTTAAAAGATGTTTAGAGTGCTTGGAATGACTTTGGCAAGTTCTCACTGAATCTTCAGACCTGCAATGAAGTGGACTCGTCAGGAAATTCAATGACATTCCTTGGCCACAAATCTCTGCAAGGACTACTGGGGCAAAGAGGGCCTGGGAAGTGGACCACACATCAACCTGTTTCTGCATTGCAACCAGAGCGCCTGGCTGGAGTGCAGTCTTGCAGTTTTTTGACGTTTTTTGACGTATTTTGCATGGCCTGAGTTCAGCAGAGTGTCCTATGTATCATGAGACAGAAAATGCCTCCAAATACATCCAAATACCGTGTCAAAGATTCGCCACAGTTCTTCCAGGTTTTCCAGTAAAACACAGGCATTTGAATGGGCTTATTATGGGCTTGTTCAGATGCACAGACGATTGATAGATTCATGCCATGCTTTGTTTTTGGGCAAAGGGAATAGCTTGAGGTTTGAATCTGCCGAGCTAGAAGTCAAGCGGCACTGCGAAGAGTACCTTGGAGTTGGATTGGGTCACGAAGAAAAGGGCTAGCAGCGGCTAGCACGGTGTAGCAATTGCAACGCCTTTTGAAATTTGCCTGCTCTCCGCGGTGCCATGCAGCATACACATTTTGACGTCATTGGCATCATGTTATCACTGCCAAAGCCAGATAACCAGATCCTCATGGGGTTACGATCTCCCTGAGGCATGCGAAACTGCTGAGATACCAGGGGACCAACAACAACTTGGCAGTCCCTTGAACTTCAAGTCTTGGCGCCAATTAGATAATTAGAGACATGGAAGGGGTGGCTTTTCTGGCACTCACCATCGCACTTGTTGAGATACATCTACGCTCGTGTCAATGTTCGAATCGAGCAGGCGTACGGACATTTTACTGCGAGATGAAGGGTCCTAAACGAACACGATGACGATAACATCATATAACATATAACATATAACATATATAATATATAATATATATAATATATAATATATAATATATAATATATAATATATAATATATAATACATAATACATAATATATAATGTATACATTGAAATGTCTTACCCAAGCTGCGGGTGCCCTGAATATATAATATATAATATATAATATATAATATATAATATAATTATAATATATATAATATATAATATATAATATATAATACATAATATATAATATATAATATAAAATGTATAATGTATAATATATATATAATATATATAATAAATACAGTAATATATAATATATAATATATAATATATAATATAATATATAATATATATAATATATATAATATATAATATATATAATATATAATATATATAATATATAATATATAATATATAATATATAATATATAATATATAATATATAATATATAATATATAATATATAATATATAATATAATATATATGATAATATATATATAGTATAATATATAATTAATATATAATTATTATATAATATATAGTACATAATATATAATATATAATATATATCATATAATGTATAATATATAATGTATAATATATAATATATAATATATAATATATAATATAATTATATAATTATATAATTATATAATTATAATATATAATATAATATATAATATATAATATATAATATATAGTATATAATATATAATATATAATATATAATATATAAAATATAATATATAATATAATATATATATAATATATAATATATAATATATAATATTTATAATATAATATATATATATATAGTATATATATAATATAATATAATATAAAATAAGATAATATAATAGAATATGATATGATATAATATAATATAATATAATAATATATATTATATATAATATAATATAATATACTATATAATATATATATATTATATGTTATATACGTGTGTACGCATAATATACATATCAATTATATGTAATTTGTGGCGAAACGGCAAAGAAGAAGCACAGTTGCCTGCGAGGCACAAAAGCAGCTGGGGACAACTTGTCTATCCCTGTCATCATTAGGGTGAGCGATTGTAATTGCACTTCCATTGGACATGTGCACGAAGAACTTCATCTTCAATCTCGTAATTATTTGCCAATAGAAGAAGGGATTAAACTGCGATCACGAACACTACAATTTAATCCTGCACAGTTGATGCCATGATGCTATCCCAATCCAGGTTTGAATGCAAACAATCATCTCTTTGAGTTTCCACCATGGACGGGGTGTTGAATCAAATGATTTTCGGAAACGATCCTTACCAAACCTCTGGACCTTAGAAGCTTAGCTCCTAAAACGGGAGACCCTCCCCCGAAGCCGAGAACCCCTCAGTCCAGATGGTGGGAAGTCTTTCTATGGAAAGTTTTGGGAAAACAACTTTTTTTGGGACTTGTGGGTTTGGTAAGATGATGCTACGCTACATTTTCTGGTGTGAACAGGCTTGAAGCAAGATGTGAAAAGAGATGAACAGTGTTGCGTGACGCTTGCGTTAGATGTTTCGAGTGCTTTTTGGTGCTTCGAACTAAGGAAAGATCAAAAAAACGTCCCTTGTCGGAATTTGACGAAATGACCCAAGAATTGCCTTGGTACATGAAGGCGGGCTCACAGGGCAGTCAAGACAAGATTTAGTGATTTTACCGGAGCAGCTCTGCTGAAAAGGGACCATTTTGTCACAACCGTGGTCACTGTACTGTAGTTCAGCGTTTTCACTGTTCAAGCTAACTTGGCGGAGGTTCTCACCCCATATACTTCTGTCCGGCTTTCCTTCTCTGATCACCTGTGCAGAGTCTGGATCATGATTTTTGGCTCACTTCTTCGAACAAAACATGTCAAACGACCCTTCTTCAAGGTTTGAAAGTAAGTAGGTCAATTAGCCAACACAGCCATAGGTTTGTTGGTGTAGAATCAGTGAGTTTGTCTGCCTAGCAACCGTTTCGTAGGGAAAACTCGCCCTTTTGAATAGATCATTGAATCAGGCCTTTCAAAACAATCAGCGTGACTGAGCTTCAGTTCACTCCCTGGCCTCTCTACACATCCCTTTTCCGAGTATCAATGTGTGGACGCTGTGGACGCTTGCGTGCTCTTGCAGTAAGGCTTTAAGGACTACTTGGATTACTTGATGCAATGGTTTACCTGTACCTTTTTGCTCCGTCGGACTTTGTCACCCCTTTCAGCCATGCTGTTATCGTAGCCAGGCGACCTCTTCTGTGTACCTTTCGTTTTGCTCTCCCCGCTCCCAGTTAAAAATGTGTTCGTATGGGACTGGAAGTACTTCTTGTGCGAGCTATTTCAGAAATTGGGTAGGGCATTTTGTAAGAGTGTGTGAAAGGTCAGGAGTGCATTGATCGACTGTTCAAACATTGACTAAAAGGGCATTGTGTCCAGGTGAGTTTGTCTACGGTACGACAAAAGACGCCATACAGAAAATTCGCAACTGATTCACAGAGAGATTTTATGAGATTCTTCTATAGTCTCTATAAGTCGCTCGGAATCTCCTCTTGAAAATGCAGGCTGAGCCTGAAGGCCGGTTGGAGGTTGAGGCGGAAAACAGGGTGGAATCGGGTGGAGTGTTGAAGGTTGACAGTGACATTCATTGGAACATCTTGGAATTCATTTCGAGTTGAGGCCGAGGCTGGAAGTGATGTAAAGAGAAAGTGGACAAGGACAGGTTTTTACACTGCTGTACAATGCTAGAAATGTGCAGGTCTGAAATACAGCAGTTCCAGACTCTCCATGGCATCAGGTGTCTCCATCACCATCCTCTTTGTGTGCTTAATTTTGAACATCCACTTGTACTTTTGAACCCTTACAAGTTCTTTCGCTAAAATGTACGATGTTGGCAAAGCGAGCGAAAAACAAGTGCCATCCTACAAGTTGATGCACTGGACTAGCAATGCAGGAAGCATGGTCAGATGGTGTTACGGGTGAGCTTTGACGAGAAGAGTCCAACGACCACAACCGTCGACACCTGTCACCTTGAAGTTGAAACGACAGCGTTGCTTGGTGCAAGATGCCCAAAATGCGTAAGAACCGCAAAAGCGCAAGCAGTCCAAGCAGTGCCTGTGACATCTCAGTGCCTCTCCAATTAGGTCGCAGCCTCCGAAGGAGTTGAAGAAAAAGCTGAAAGACAAGGACAGCATAAACATGCAAAAACATGACATCGAACAGAGAACACGTGCAAAAACGACTTGTCTTGAAGTACGATTTGTTTAAGAACTTGAAACCCTGTGCAGAGAGCTCTTGCTTAGTTCACTTTGCTCAGCTTTTGCACAGCAAGTGCACTGAAGGAACGAAAGAAAGTAAAGCGGCTTGGCACTGCTTTTCCATCTTATTTTTCATTCTCAAATGGGGCTCTACGAAATTTGGGTCCAGGTCTTTCAACTCAGTCACACTTTTGGCAGTGCTTCGACACTTGATTTGGCAAGGAAAGAAAAGCAAAATAGAGAGCAGCAGGACCCGATTGAACATGCCATGCCCATGAGAACTACGCTGGCTGAGAAAAGTAATGCCATGTTTTCTAGATCTTGTACTGTGTGACACGAATGAGTGAACGTTCGTCACTCCATGTCCTGCTTAACACGGACCTCAGATGTCAGTAGCGCTTGCAAATCGTCTATTCCTCAGAGGAGATAGCTGAGCTACGGCGACAGCGGTACTTGCGCGAGGACAAGACGTGTTTTGCGCAGATTTGTTATCTGATTTGTGTGCCATTGGCATCTTGAAATTTTCAAGGAGTGGATACGATTCACCCAGCCAACAAGGAAACAACAGAACAAGAAACAAGGGGGGGCCTGAGAACCCAAAAGCAAAACGACAGCAAACAAATTTGAGTAATACTGATAATTGGTTTATTTCTTTTTCGCCTCTTGCCAGCTTCTTTTTAGAAGATGAACATGATGGACGCATTCACTGCAAATTTCATTTTTCCCCACCTGCCAGGTGAGGGTTGTTTGATTTTATCAGAGTTGTTCTCCTCGGCTAGCTGTCCTCCTCGTCCTCGTCCTCCTCCTCCTCCTCGTCCTCCGCCTTCTCCTCCTCCTCTGCCTCCTCCTCCAGTTTCTCCTCGATCATGTCTGCATCAACTTCCACCTCAACTTCCGCCTTGCCAACTCTTCGCCAAGCTCTTTGCCAACTTCCCAGCTCAGTGCACCGGTGGACCTCAACCTGGGACCAAACCAGCTCAGTGTGCACCGCTGGACCTCAACCTGGGGATCTGCCCAGCTCAGTGTGCATCGCTGGACCTCAACCTGGGACCTTCCCAGCTCAGTGTGCACCGCTGGACCTCAACCTGGGACCTTCCCAGCTCAGTGTGCACTGCTGGACCTCAACGGCCAGATAGAATACCAGAAGATATGCCAGATAGAGTGTTAGAAGATATGTCAGATAGAATGCCATAAGATATGCCAGAACATATTGCAGAAGATATGCCAGGTAGAATGCCAGAAGATATGCCAGATAGAATGCCAGAAGATATGCTAGATAAAATGCCAGAAGATATGTCAGATATAGAATGCCAGAAGATTTGCCAGTAACAAAACGTATAAATATCATGGTGGGGATAACTCGAAGTGAAGTAATTTCAGCACTGCGCGGAAACATTGAGTGACAGTGTGCAATAGCCAAGCAAGCTCATTTGAGCACGGTCATGCGACGGCGGCTGATTTCCAAATCAACCTCTCACCTCTCCTTTCCTTTCCCTTCCTTCCCTTCCTTTTCCGTCCTTTCCCTTCCTTTCCCTTCCTTTTCCGTCCTTTCCCTTCCTTTCCCTTTCTTTCCCTTTCTTTCCCTTCCTTTCCCTTTCTTTCCGTTCCTTTCCCGTCCTTTCCATTCCTTTCCCTTCCTTTCCCTTCCTTTCCCTTCCTGTCCCTTCCGTTCCCTTCCTTTCCCTTTCTTTCCCGAATGCGTAGCAAGGGTTCCCGTTGCCCAACCGTCCGCAACCACTCGCAACCGTCCGCGCGATTGCTATATGGCCGTGCCTCTGGTAAGTTCTCCAAAAGGGGTAATTTTTGCGTTTCGCGTGGCAGGCGTGGCACTTCGTGACATTCAGACGTGTTTTGTAACGTGTCGAAAGTCATTGTGTGTGGCAGGCGCAATACTTTTGCGACGTTTTCAGAAGATGCGTTGCAGTTTTCGTGGCAGGCGCAGCACTTTGGACGTGTCCATCGTCATTTTGCGTGGCAGGCGCAGCACTTTAGACGCGTAGTGTTGCGTGTTTTTTACGAGGCGCATTGGCAGGGCTGCGTCAAGTGGCGACAAGGTGCAGATTCCGTGGCAGACGTGGCATTTTGTGAGATGTGCTGAAAATTGACGGAAGCCTCCCACGAAACATCGATTTTGAGGTAGCAAATTTAAAGGCTCGTACGAAAACTCGTGGGAAAATTTTGAAGCTACAAAGTGTGAAAATTGGAGGAAGTCTCGCACGAAAGGCTCGTTTTGATGCTCCCACATCTCTCGTCTCAAGTCTCTGGTTTTCCTGTGGCGTCGCCGTGTCTATGGGGGAAGCTGCAAAATCTCTCCTTTTCGAAGGTTTCCAAGCAGGTTGTCATGTCGTTTTGCGTGGCAGGGGTGGCACTTTGCACTCTACACTCCCCACTCTACACTCCACACTGCACACTCTACACTCCACCGCACCCTACACTTTGCACACTCCTCACTCCACACTTTACACTTTACACTCTACACGCCACGCTCCACACTCGACACTTTCCACTCCACACTCTACACTCCACACTTTACACTCCACACGCCTCACTCCACAATTTACACTTTACACTCCTCACACCACACTCTACAATTTACACTTTGCACTTTCCACTCCCCCTTCACACTCTACACTTTACACTCTACACTCCACAGTTTACACTTTGGACTCCACACTTTAAACTTTGCACTCCACACTTTACACTCCTACACACTCCACACTCTACACCCCACGCTCCACCACACTCCACACTCTACACCCCACACTCCACCACACTCCACACTCTACACCCCACACTCCACCACACTCCACACTTTACACTCCACACTCCACAAACTACACTTTCCACTCCACACTCCACACTCCACACTTTACACTCCACACTCCTCACTCCACAATTTACACTTTACACTCCTCACTCCTCACTCCACACTTTACACTTTGCACTTTGCACTCCTCACTCCACACTTTACACTCCACACTTTACTCTCCACACTCCGCACTCTACACTTTACGCTGTACACTTTACACTCTACACTCCACACTTTACATTTTCGACTCCTCACTCCACACTTTACATTTTACACTCCTCACTCCACTCCACACTCCGCACTCTACACTTTCCACTCCACACTTCACACTCTGCACTTTCCACTCCACACTCCACACTCTACACTTTACACTCCATACTCTTCACTTTACATTTTTCACTCCACACTTTACATTTTACACTCCTCACTCCACGCTTTACACCCCACACTCCACACTTCCCACTTTACACACCACACTCACACTCTACACTTTACACTCCACACACTATACTCCACACTCCACACTCTACAGTTTCCACTCCACACTCTACACTTTACACTCCTCACTCCTCACTCCACACTTTATACTTTACACGCCACACTTTACAGTTTGCACTTTACACTCCTCACTCAACACTTTACACTCCACACTTTACACTCCACACTCCACACTCTACACTTTACACTCTACACTTTACACTCTACACTCCACACTCCACACTTTACACTCCACGCTTTCCTCTCCACGCTTTGGACTCCACACTTTACACTCCACACTTTACACTCCACACTTTTACGCTCCACACTCCACAGTCTACACTTTACACTCCACACTCTACACTCCACACTCCACACTTTACCCACTGCACACTCCACACTTTACACTCCACACTCCTCACTCCACACTTTACACTCCACACTTCCCACTTTACACTCCACACACTACACTTTACACTCCACACTCCACACTTTACACTCCACACGCCGCACTCTACACTTTACACTCTATACTCCACACTCTACACTGTCCACTCCACACTGCAGACTGGTAACAGGGGAAGTATGTATATACAAGACTGTTCAAATAAACTATTGCAGAAAATTGTTCTGAGTGACTGCATATCCATTAACGTACGTGTGAGCATTCGGGTTCGTGGGCTGCATCTTGTTCTTCTCCCCGCCTATTTCCAGCCACTCCCTTGCACCCACGCCGTCCGCAGCCGTCCGCGCCCAGCCACTCCCTTGCACCCACGCCGTCCGCAACTGTCCGTGCACTTCTCCGCACCCATTGCCCGTCCGCAGCCGTCCGCGCAGCCAAGCTCGCTCATCACCAGCGGCTTCTTCTGCCCACCCATTTCCAGCCACTCCCTTGCACCCACGCCGGGCCGTCCGCAGCCGTCCACGCCATTCTCCCCACCCATTTGCCGTCCGCTGCCGTCCGCAGCCGTCCGCGCAGCCAAGCTTGCTCATCAGCAGCGGCTTCTTCTCCCCAGGCCCACCCATTTCCAGCCACTCCCTTGCACCCACGCCGTCCGCAACCGTCTGCGCACTTCTCCGCGCCCATTGCCCGTCCGCAGCCGTCCGCGCAGCCAAGCTCGCTCATCACCAGCGGCTTCTTCTCCCCAACTATTTCCACCCCTTAGTTTTCCCACGCCGTCCACAGCCTTCCGCGCAGTTCTCTGCACCCATTTCCCGTGGCAGCCGTCCGCGCAGCCACGCTCTCTCATCTCCAGCGCCTTCGTCTCCCCACCCATTTCCAGCCACTCCCTCGCACCCACGCTTTCCGCAACCGTCCGCGCAATTCTCCCCACCCATTTGCCGTCCGCAGCCGTCCGCGCAGCCAAGCTCGCTCATCACCAGCGGCTTCTTCTCCCCATCCATTTCCAGCCACTCCCTTGGACCCACGCCGTCCGCAACCGTCTGCGCAATTCTCCGCACCCATTTCCCGTCCGCAGCCGTCCGCGCAGCCAAGCTCGCTCATCACCAGCGGCTTCTTCTCCACACCCATTTCCGGCCACTCCGTTGCACCCACGCCGTCCGCAGCCTTCCGCACAGTTCTCCGCACCCATTTGCCGTCCGCAGCCATCCGCGCAGCCGAGCTCGTTCATCACCAGCGGCTTCCATTTCCAGCCACCCCCTTGCACCCATGCCGTCCGCAGCCGTCCGCGCAATTCTCCGCACCCATTTCCCGTCCGCAGCCG